GTTAGTCGGGCACCCACATCTACTATCGACATTCATTCGTTGAATGTTGGTATTGAAGAAGACATAGCTAGCCCAGCTATGCAATTGCACATCCCTCCCGGCCACTCAACTGATTCTCAACAACCAGTTGTTTCAATTCTTCATGGGGATTTAACACATACTCTATCTACTTCTCATTTGGAGAATGTAGATATTGAAAACAGTAGGCCACTACCCCAGCCTATGACTTCAATTCTGTGCACCTCGAGTATAGAGCCCATACATATAGGTACACAAGAGTCAAGAGCATCTGTTGCTCCAATTCTGGTTCTTAGCGAACCTGCCGGAACAACCAGAGTGGTGCCTATTGACCTACCACGAGGACAGGTTGGAAGTCCTACCAGTGCTAACGTCATGCCAACACTGAACGTAGGCACAACAGTTTATTCAACTGTTGTCTCAACTGGTAATCTATGTGATCCAAGTGTGATCTTACCCGACTTTGTATCAAGGGAATATCTAGACGGCACCCTAAAGGCTGTTCAAGATCATATGGAAGCGCAAATCCTAAGTCTCAAACGGATGATGAACTGGAAGGAGCCAGTAATCGAAGATCAACCATTTGGGCCGTCACCACCGCCTGTGCCCGAGCCTCCGAGGGTACAAGAGCAATCGGTGGATGAACTTAAATCTCTGTTGTACGCAAAGCTGATATCAACTCAAAATCCTGATGCGACTGATGCAGACCTGGTTGGGCTCCTCCGACAACTTGTTGACAATGATCCCACTGTTAGAGCCTCAAAGTTTTTGGCCTTTCAAGATGTAGTTGCTTCTAACTTCTCAAAAGTTAGTAAGTTAATTACATCAAACACTCAAGCCTTAATAAGTTCAATTGATGCCTTATTTGAAAGGGTATCCATTCTAGAAGATACGTGCCGAGCTCAAGCCGCCTCATTAAAAAGAAGACATGATGATCTGGACGATCCTGATCATCATGAGGGGGAGAGAAAGAGACAAAGGCTGGCTGAGTCATCTGTTCGTGCTCAAAGTGTTGAAAGGGAGCCAGATTCTCAAGCTGTTAACGTTGAAAGTCTTGTCCCAGAATCAACAAGGGAAAGGACTACTGGCCAGATAATAATTGAAGATGAGATGGTCTTGGAGACAAATCCAGTGATCGAGCCAATGGTTGAAAAGCCGACGGACTCCACTGTAGGAACAAGGTTGCTTCTGGATTTGTCGGCCAATGTGGGATTCAATGAAGCGTTTGCTAAAGAACTGGGTGGAGATCAGGATTTTGGTGAAGACATCGACAACATTGATGAATCATCCGGAATGTATTTTGACTTTGAAGCAGATATCAATGAAGAAGATTTTGTCTTCCCATTCCAGGGTGATCATCAGACTCCGTCTGAACCCTCCACTGCAGTTGATCTTGGTGCATCTGAAACTCCGAGAGCGGCGTTTGATCCTACTGAGAGTTTTACTAAAAATTATGTGTCGTTTGCAATTCGTGCTAACGTTCCAGTTTATGATAGAGCAAGGATCAAAGAACCTTATCTAGAAGACGTTTACTTCGGTATCTTCCTCCGGCACCATAAAGCTCTCAATGCTGACATGATTCTTGGGATTCACAAATGAAACCCGAGATTATCGGTTAGAGTACAAGCATTTTCTGAAGGCAAAGCATCTCCCAATCAGCCAAATTCGGACCAAAAATCGAGTCGTCTCAATCAAACAAATTGATGCCCAAAGACTCCTTAGAGTTTGGTATCCTGTATTCACTGTTACACGACAAGATGGAAAGGTCTGGGTATTTAGTGAAGCTGATTTCTCTAACCTGTATTTAGAAGACTTGGAGCACATGTACCACAAACTACAGAATATGAATGTCCGAAGAGAAGGAGCACTTGTTGGTCTTAATGCAATCAATTGATTTATGCGAAGTCATGTCAAAGTATCAATGGTTCTTCATGTCCAAATGGGTCTTGAAGACAATCAGAGAATCATTAACTTGAAGAGACCAGATCAAGAGCTAGAAGATATTGAAGGTTATCCTTTGTATATAATCCTTGAAGAACTGGAGTTCGGTGTGGTATATAGTGCTGAAGGTCGGATAAAGAAGTTCATGAGATTCAGTGAGCTGAATAAATACTGTGATGGCACTATAAGGATGGTGAGACGGGCGCTTGAAACGAGAAAAGCTGACAACGATAGAGTTGCGGAGTCGGAGATAATAAGTCCTAAAGAGAGGTATCTTCTGATAAATGCCTTGAACCTGCTTGATGATAAATTGCAGTATCGGAGGGCGCTAAGGAGGCTAGAGACACTACTTGGGCTTAGAAAGACAAGATTTACAATGTCTCGACCTTGAATCCAAAGGGGGAGATTGTTGGGTTCAAGAATGTGCTTAAAAATTTGTATTCAAGTTCTCTCATTGTAATTGTTTTGTAATAGTTAGTCTTTACTATTTTCTTAGTATAAATAGTCTTTAGTTTGCTAATTGTAATTAGTTCAGTTAATTCTAGATTAATTGATGTTAATCACTTGCAGAAATTCTCTCAAGAAATATTACATTCAACTTTGGTGATAAATCTCTCTCTACTCATCTTGATTCAAGTTCTTGAAGATTTAATTTGATTTGTATGATTTTGGGAACATCAGGTTGAAAATGGTTAACAAAGTTAACACAATACTTTGGCTTAACATTTGAACCAATCGCTCTCTCTCTATATATATTGACAAAAATTGAAAGATGTTATTTTACGTAAAATAACAAAATTAAGTACATTATATAAAATGAACGTAAATTAAAGTATGTTATCACTTACTTCATTTAAAATTAACAATTAGTCTACAATACATTAACACTGGGATACAATCAAATGAAAACCACAAAAAGATTGAGAATTATAAAATCACCTTTCATGCGTCGTTTCATATTGTAAAACAATAGTATGTGAAAATATATTATTGTTTCACAGCGTATAACAAAAAATATTAAAAATAGACATTACAAATAATCACATTGTGAACCAACATTCTATTTTTGCATTCATTGTTTTATAATATGAAACGACATATAAAAATTGATTTCCACAGTTCTCAATCTTTTTTATTGCCCTCATTTGATCAATCCCCTACATCATATATATATATATATATATATATATATAGAGAGAGAGAGAGAGAGAAAGAGAGAGAGAGGGAGAGAGAGGGTGGGGGGAGGGAGATTGAAACGAGAACAGTAACTAAATAAGAGAACACAAAAACAACCAATCACTTACAAAATCACATGTAACCTGATACACTTTCTCCATATCTACAACCCTTAAATAAAAAAAAAGTTAGTAACTTTTTATAAATTGGTCTTTTAGGTAGTGTTTGGTACGCAGACTGAACAGAACTGAACAGGACAGGACAGGACATGACAAGAGGGTAGGACTGGACAAGATTGGATGGGACTGGACTGAACAAAACAAGTGTATGTCTAGTGTTTGGTACAACTAGGACTAGACGCGACAGAACTAGACAAGTTACCCCAAAAGTTATTTGATGATTTTAAATATTATATAATAGTTATAACTAACGCGAATAAAGTAAATAATTAAATAGTCTAATTTATAAATGTTTTTACACAATTTTCATATAAATGAATATATACATATATAATAGTACTGAATTTGAATAAAAAATTTGATAATATTGATAGTAGTAATAATAGTGGTCTGAGAATGGATCAGACCGTGCTAATGTCAATCCGCTTTCTTACATTTATTCCTATTCCAAGGCGGTGGAGGTAGTGGTGGTGGTGTAGGTGGTTTTGGTTATGGTAGAGATGGTGGTGGCCGACGGTAGTAGTGGCGATGGGTGGTGGTGGTCGGTGGCGATTGACAACGGTAGAGGAGGTAGTTATAGATGATGTAGTGAAGATAGTGGTGGTGGTGGTTATGGTGGACGTCACTTTAAAGGCGCTAAGCTAAGAAAGAGGCTTAAGTCATCGCTTAAAATTCGAGAAGTAATTTGCTTGGAATAAACCAAGGTTTCAACTCCTTTACGGGCTCCGTAACAAGAAACAATATATTCTGTGAGGGGGCAATGGATGGTGGTGATCGATGGTCGACGATGGTTGTGGAGGTCATGAGGAGGTTGTTACATTAGAGAAGGAGTTGGAGGTGGAGGTGGCCAGTGGTGGTAAGTGGTGGTGACAATGGATGGTGGTGGTCGGTGGCTGATGGTGATTCTAGAGGTGGTAATGGACAGTGGTGGTTGGTGGTCAACAGTGATTGTAGAGGTCATGTAGAAGGTTGTTGCGGTATTGGAGTGGAGGTGGCCAACGGTGGTAGTGTTGGTGGTAACGGGTGGTGGTGATCGGTGGCCGATGGTGGTTGTAAAGGTGGTGATCGGTGGCTGATGGAGGTTGTAAAGGTGGCAATGGACAGTGGTAGTCGGTGGTCGACGGTGGTTGTGGAGGTGGTGAAGGAGGTTGTTGTAGTAGAGGAAAAGTTGGAGGTGGCGAACGGCAGTAGTGGTTGGTGGTCGACTATGGTAGAGGTGACGATGGACAATGGTGGATGGTGGTTGTGGAGGCGATAGAGGATGTTGTTGTAGTGGAAGAGGAGGTGGAGGTGGCCGCCGGTGATGGTTGCGGCCGAAACTAGCAGTGATAACCATTAAAAGAAATATCATATTAAGGTTATATATCTTAATAATATTTTAGTTATGTCTCATTTTCGTCTGATCTTGTTCCACATATTTTGGTGGAACAAGAAAAAACATATTTTGTCCCATTTTATTTCAGGTCTTGTCCTTGTCCCATGTCACACCAAACTTGAGACAATGAGTTTTTGTTCTGTCTCATGCTGCGTCAAACATGAGACAATAAGTTTTATTCTATCTTGTCTCGTCCCATATACCAAACGCAGCCTTACAAATCTAAAAATATAAAACAGGTTGGCTTAATCCATCAATTTCTGTTAACTATTTTTAATTAACATATTAAATATGATTACAAAAACGAACGGTTTTGTACAACCTTTTTAACTGCATCTCTTTCCAAAACTATAGAGAAATAACATACAATATGCAATCCTCTAGAAAAAAACTTAGGGTAAATGAAAAAAAAAATATGTTTTACGAGTATTTTCGCGTTCTATTCTTTATGCCGTGCGTTAAAATGCTTGGAAGCTTGGCCTTATCCTTGGTGGCCTTATCCTTGGTGAACGCTCTCTGAACGTCTTCTTTGAGCTCAATAAAGCGAGTTCGCTTGATGATTTGCTCCTCTGGCGTACCGTTCTCAAGGTAAACTAGATCCGGAAAATCGTCCAACATGAACTTGTCGAGAACTTCTGAACAATGAGGGAAAAACCGTCGACCCATCTCCACTGCATCCACGAACTTGGTTATTATACGTCTAGTTGATTTTCTCATTTATAACTATTATTAAAGATGCACAAGAAACGGGCCTTCCAAGCCCGTTTTCAGTGAGCAATGCCCGGCCGGGCTCTGGGTTGAAAAAGAGTCCGATTGGGCTTTTCCGGGTCGGGCCTAAGCTCGGGGCCTGTCACCAATATTTCGTTCTGAAACTCGACCTGGTTTGGACATTTTTGTGCATCTCTAACTATAATAGCATACTTCCTCCGTCCCAAAATAAATTTCCACAATGAAAGACACAATTTTAAAAATGTAAAATTATTACAGTTTTTAATTAACTAAATAACAATTTTAGTAATTTAACTTTTAACAGAGATGGAAATTCTCCCCTTAATCCATCTCATAATTAAGGGTAGAATATGAAAATAGACATTTAATTTTGGGCGTGGACATTTATTTTGGTAGAAACTAAAGAGAAATGTCTTGACATCTATTTTAGGATGGAATATAGAAGATTTTTGAACATCATTTGAGGGGCAATCTGGTCATTTTAACGTTTTTATCTTGTTTTGTCGAGCTTACCAAGCAATATTGTTTGGTCATGTGGTAGTCGTACCAAAAACGAGACACCAGTCATATGTGCATGGAAACACAACAAAAAGAGAATTCGGAAGTGAAAAGCCGACAACCTACCTGTTTTCGAAAGCGCTTCTATTTTCGATACGAGTCTTTTGTTCTGCATTGACGGTGTATCATTCAGATCCATCTCAATCAAGTTCCCACTCGGACCTTTGGTCCCGGATGTTGTATTTGCATTTGCGATCTCCATAGCTAGTTTGGCTTCTGTCGGAAACAATAATCGCGCAAACGCCACTACACAAACGAAAACCAACAGAAATGACCAAAAGGGTATAAAAGTAATTCACACCAATGAACACCCGGATGGGTAATAAACGTAAATTCACACCAGTGAACACCCGAAAGGGTGGAAACGTTAGATTCACAGGAATGAACACCCGAAAGGGTGAAAACGTAAACACAGGAACATCAAAAGATCTGAAGACGACAAACCATACCTCTGTTTTCCAAATGCAGCAACTTCATCTGCAAATCATCGGCGATAGCCGAAGATGACACTGGTACGTCTCCCCCCATCGAATTCCGCATAATTTCCCGTTCCAAAAGATCGATGCATAACCGATCCTTGTTTGCTTCTTGCCCGTGTTCTGTTTTCATGTTATAATCCTTCGGCCGTGTCAACCGTTTGCAAATCCCAACCGCACTCTGCCCGTCTCGTGTCATCTCGAGAACCGATGCTTGTTTGCTCAAAAGCGAAACAATGATCGACGGTTCCTTACGCATCGCCGCAATATGAAGCACGGTATACCCTCGAGAATTCCGACGATTTACGTCCGCCAGATCCAAACCGAGCACCTCTTTCACGATTTTTTGATCGCAATATGAAACCGCATAATGTAACGCGTTGGCTTCGTCTAACGTAATGTTTGATTCCGTTAAGAGAAGTTTCACGAGTTCCACATCATCCGAGTCCAACGCTTTGTGTATTTGTTTAATCCGCTTTTCACGCAACGCTTGCTCCTCGGATTTTACCGAAACGGGCTTGTTCTCGTCTTGAGATTTGTAGCGAAGCGACTTTACGTCACGGGAAACTTCGACTGGGAGCTCTTTCTCGAGCGAGACATCATCGAGGTCCGATCGGGCGACTCGGTGGACACATTGAGTCAAGATGTGAGTTAACTCGCAGTGGAACGCAACCAACAGTATCGGGATCATGTCTTCAACGAGAGCCTTGTCAACAAAGTTGAGAAGTCGCCGCTACAATTCATACATCAAGTTAACCAAATGAGTTGGTTTTTAACATCAACGTTGTGTTCTAGAAACCTTTTTACGAAGGAAAAGAAGGGGAGGGAAAAGGGAGGAAAGGAAAAGAAGCTCATGCTCACGATACTTTTTTAGGAGAGAAAGAAAAGGAGACAGAAAAAGAAATATTCATAAGTTTCCTACCAAAACTTTCTTTCCAAAAGTGGGAGTGAAGGTAACGAAATAAATTAAAACCCTTTTAAAAAGATTATTAAAATTTTTACCCAAGTCCCAAACTTTTTTTTAAAGGGTATACTTGTAAAAATGACATCTTTCTTTCCCATCCCTTTCTTTTCTTCCCAAATTCGAGAAACGTAACAAGGGTAGGAGAACAATAAATATTTGAGAACCTGGAACCAGTTATTTCATAAATGATTCATTAGTCCTAATATTCATTAAGAATATCCATGCATTTTCATTAGTCCTAATATTCATTAAGAATATCCATCATAATGAATAATGTTCATCATGAATATTATGCATTTCCATTAATCATCATTGATATCATGCATTTTCATTATTCCCAGCATTCATAATGAATAATCCACTAAATAGGTTCACATGGTTCGCAAAATATTTATAATTCTCGTTTCAACCTTCCCCACAAAACCAAACGAGTTGCATTTTAACATCAAAATTAACCAAATGAGTTGTGCTTTTTACCATCAAGATTAACCAAATAAGTTGCTTTTTAACATCAAGATAAACCAAAAATTGCTTTTTAACATCAAAACTAACCAAATGAGTTGCTTTTTACCATCGAAATTTACCAAATGAGTTGCTTTTTAACATCAAAATCAATAAGAACGGTGTCGATCACAAAAAAGAAGCTAAAAAGCAATCAAATTCATCGAAATCTTGATGAATTCAAACAATAATGCAAACTATAAAAAGGAACACACATACCTGAAAAAGTGAAACCAACTCGGGCACCTGAAAAATGACTGAAGCATACATCAATTCAACGGCAAACACAATAGCCGGCCTACAAGCATCATGGGGGCATCCCTCATGAACACAATTCGAAACCTCTAGTGGTGCCGATTTCATTTTTCCGGTATACAAATAGTTCAAGAACACAAGAAAAGCATCATATCCCACATTCCCAAATGGCAAAATTTCACTCATTTTGTACTTAATTTTACCATCTTTTTCTCCACAATCTTTACTTCCTTCAAACAAATCGCAGAAAAATTTACTTCTAGCGGCTAAAATACACCTGTGGATGCACACATGGCTGCCTTCCACCATGACCACTGCATCGCTGTAATTCGAATCTGATTCAATCAAGAGTTTTCCTAAGTTGCTACTGAGCTTATTTAGGCTGATGATTTCAAGATTCGATCGTGCTTCGGTGATCGAAGAGGAAGATATATTATAGCCATTAGAGCCATTGGATATATGAGAAGGTGAAGTAAAGCTAATGGATGATGACGGTTCAGAATAATTTGCCATTGATCAAACTCAAAATTTTTGAAATTTGACACAGATTTTAGAAACCCAATTACAAGAAATGAATTGGGATTCAGGAATCAGGAATTAAGGATATACATATATAAGATTAGGGACACGAAGTCTTCTTGGAAAAGTCAACTTTAGAAGACCATCTGATCATCAAAATACAAGAAGCTGAAGCAAACAACTAAAAGGAGGAGATGAATCAAGCCATTAAAGATTCACATTCTTGTTAATATCTCCAAATCCCTTTTCAATATCGGCAAATATAACCTATGCAGAATCCTGTTATAATGACTTGTACCTTATGCTATGAAAGTTGTACAGTACCAATTTTCAAAAAGGGAAGAACAAGAATGAATTGGAAGTCCGAAACCCCCAAATGGGTTCAAGTTTTTCTAGAGAAAAATTGTAACACAGAACATGGAATTGATCATCAAACACTCTACTTGATTTCAACTGCAATCCATAACATCAAATCCTTCATCAAGAGCCTAAAACAAACCCTAAATGACGAACACCCAGATCGAGAAATCAATCATATAACAAAACACAGATGAATTCAGACTTCAAAGAAACAAAGAATCAATCATAGAGCAAAACCCAGATCAATTCAGATTTAACTAAAAACCCATCATCATACGCCTAAAACAAACCCAAAATGACCAACGCCCAGATAAACGAACTCAATCACGTAACAGAACCCAGATGAAATCAGTTCCAAGTCGCAGCTCAAGACGTCAAATCAATCTTCAAAAGTCTAAAACAAACTCAAAATGACGAACATCCAGAATTAGAAATAGATGATAAACCAAAATTACAGAGAAAACCGACAATATTTGCTGTAGTTGATGAATCAATGGGAGTCGCTAGGGTGTGGGAAAGCAGGAAACTTCCTAGGGGTTTCGTTTACGAACTGTTGTCGGATTGTTAAGAGAGAGAGAGATGAGGATGAAGTAGTTGAGGTGACGCAGCTAATGACGCCATGGTAGCTTGCTGGGTTTTGCCTACGCAGTCAACGTCGTCACGCTTAGCTTGTAAGTATCGATGAGGTCAAGTTGTTTCCATATTTATATTTTTACGTCGAGTCCCTCAATAATTACTTAATTACAATCTTGGTACTCCCGTATCATCATAAATTTCAGCGCATAGATTTAAATAAAAATGTTAAATATTATTACAAAATAGGAAACGTTGGTAAGGATTTATGCATGAATCCTTTGAAAAAATCTATTTAGAGTCGTATATATAAATTACCGTTATACATTATTCATATGGGTTTATATATGTATCTTTAAATTGATTTCCAATATTTACTTATGAATTTTCAATTTCTTATCTTCTCACAATATTTAGTTTTCTTATTTAAACATTCATTTAGTCGTTATAGTAGTAAATAATTGTAACTTGTAGTCCTTAATCTCACAATTCTACAATATCTTTCTTGCTCCTAATTTCCGTCATAAAAAAATGAGGATAATTTGTAAGATCATACGTTATTTTGATGAAACTAATTTCAAAATTTTATTTTAAGGAACGTATTATGTCTTTCGTAAAATCAAATAAACGTATTATATCGTTAATGCAATAAAGAAAAATATTATAAATTTATAAATAAATAAGAACATATAATAAATTGATAACCAAAAACTCAATCTTGATATGTCTTGCTAAATCTTTTTGTTTGAGATTTTTCTTTTTGTTGACACCATAATTAAATATAGAAAGTGTTAATGGCACTCCTTAACAGGGGTGTTGAATGTCTTAGTAATTATAATTGTTTTAAGTACATCAAATGTCAAACTCAAACAATAATATATATTTTATTATTATTATTATCTATACTATATTATAAAGTATTTGACAAAAACTCTTAAAAACCATTTTTTATGCATGAAGTACTGTATATTGATGCATATTTCTTAAAATTCAAAATTACAAGTAAATTGTACATTAGTACAATTTATTAAAGTTGTATGTTTGAATTCGTGTAACTAACTGTGAATAACATAATCAAATAGAAGATAAACATTTTATTTTAAAATATAAAAAAATCTAAATTATAATTAAGATAATTATTGAGTTCTAACATAATACTTAATTATTATCTTTATAAAAGAAATTTTATTAAATCTAAATTAAGTTACTTCGTTACGTTAAATTAAATTATAATAAAAAAAATTGAATTAAAAAAAATAAACAAACAAAAACTTTTAAATAGTTAATTTGATACTAATATTTATATTTTTTTGCAAATTTTATATGATATTTTTAAATTTATATTTTATTCAAAAATAGAAACATTATCGTTTTTTAAAACAAAATAAAATCATATTATATCGACATGGATAAAAAATAAAACGAAATATTGAAATGAAAATGTATCTCGATGCATTACACGAGTACGCTTCTAGTTATATATATACATACATACACACACACACACACACACACACACACATATATATATATATATATATATATCCATTGCATATTATTATGATTTTAAGTTATTGTTGATCCTCTCTCTCAGTGATTTGATGATAATCCTTTTTCTCTTTTACGTTGTATTTGTGTTTCTGTATTTTCAGTTCCAGCGATCTTCACTGAGTATGTTCAGTGATCGCTGAAGAACTTGCATTGTAAATCTATCAGAGACAGCAATACTTCAAGAAGACAACACTCACACCAAAGAACCTTCAGCAAACGTCGAAGACTGAAACTGAAGATTAGAGACCGGCGAGTAAGTGATCTGAAGCGGTATTCAATGATTACAAGTCTGTCTACATATGTGTGAAGACTGCTCTAGCTTCAGCGAATGATGATGAGATCTTCAGGTCATTCCAGCATTCAGCGATCAAAGGAAGCTTACTTAGCACGATTGTTGTTGTCTTGTCCTTATGCACACAAAGGACAAAACCCATACCCTTACAAAAGTTAGTACGGTACGGAGCCGACTAGTCGACTCTTTGTCCACCAACTTTAGGTAAGGATGTTTGCTCAGAAATAGTGTTTTTGTACTATTCACTGTAGCAAAGGACAAACCTTCCTCTTAAGGCTTGATACGCACTCTAAACCTACCATATTGCATTGAATGAACATTTAATGCACTAGGTATAAATAGAAGTGTTTCTTCTCCATGCAGAGAGCGCGCATCTCTCTCTAACCTTATTCTTACTTCAAGCATGTTCTAACTTAAGTAAAGGATCTTTCTTTTAGCAATTTCTTTTCTTGTAATTGCTAAAGCTTTGTGTGTAACCAAAGATTGTTTAGATAGGTTTTTATTACCTTATCTTTCCGCAAACAATCTTGTAAAATCTGTATTGATCTTCTCTATCAATATATATTTTAGATTTGAAAATAATGTGTTTGTATTCATCATCCCCTTCTACAAATTGTTTCTCTTCTTGTAGACCCTTACGGGACCAACAGTTATATTATGTAACTATTATATACATAGCCAATTATATATATATATGTGTGTGTGTGTGTAGGGGTACATAGTTTTCATTTATACTTTTATATTTTTATTATATATATATATATGTGTGTGTGTGTGTGTGTGTGTGTGCGCGCACGCATTGGTATTAGAATTGTATCCTAGTTATTTAAATATTTTTAACAATGTCAATTTAAAAGTGATTTTTTATGAATTTAATATAAATACAAGTTTCGATTAAATTTAAATTGTTTTCAGTAATTGTGATATTATATTCAAAATAATGCTAAAAATATAGTGATTTAAAAAATGTAATCATTTTTACAATAACTATTATTTCAAATCTCTTAGACCTTGGGCAGATAATATTTCTAAATAGATGTTATATATCTTTTTTCATAACATTTTAATCTATAAATTAATACACACACACACACAAATATATATATATATATATATATTATCATTTACATATTATCATACCTTACTTCATTTCCAACACTAATATCATTTATATCATTTTCCCCTCCTCCTCCTCCTCCTTCAAGAAAGCGTTAAGAGACCCTCTTGACCCAACCCTAGACACTATGATTCTTGATTTAATTACTCCCATTTCGTTTTACAGTTTACAGATGTGGGTTGGCTTCCAAACTTCTACTTAACAGAGAGTGTACATTGATAGAAAAAAGAAAGAATGGGAGCAAAGAAAAACATTAGAGAGTAAGAAAGAAAAAACAGGTAAGACCATTTATCATCTTTTTATGTTTTTGAATACACACACAAAACCATGGTAAGAGTTATCACCCTCACTTAACGGTAAGACTCTCGGTCCTTACCTTCACTCTTACCGGGTAAGATTCTTGTTACTTGTCATATTTATCCGGTAAGGTAATGTGACTTAGTAAATGTTTATCCAGGTACACTCGAATATATTATAAATAAAAATATTGATAGGTTTAACAATTACTATTCATGAAATTGAAATAATTTTTGTTCAATTTTCAGCTGTTTTTGCTTATCTGAATGACACATGGCTCATACCATACAAAGAAATGTTTGTATTCGTTTGGACTGACAAATTATCTCCACTTCGGAAATCGAACAAGTAACAGAGTGGAGAGACAATATTCCAAGTTGAAAAGTTACTTGGATTCTATGCAATCAAGTCTACCGACAATTTATGAGCAACATCAATCAACTCATTCAGTCCCAAGATATAGATGTGAGAGCAAGTATTGAAGAGAGCAGATGTGTCACGAAACATCTTCATCGCATACCACACTTCCAACAATTGTATGGTTTTGTTTCACTTTATGCACTAGACATAATACTCCAGGAATATCGGCATGCTCAATTTGTTGGCTTATTCTTTGGAAATTGTAATTGTCTACTACATACAAGTTATGGGTTTCCATGTCCGCATGAACAAATGCTATATTCCAATAAAGACCATCCTATCCCATTTGATTCGATTGATGTATTTTGGACGAAGCTTGATTTATCATCGTGTCAATCTTTACAACAAGATGATATTGGTTGTGAAGATGAAGTCCAAATGTTTATCGAGGAATTTAAAAAACAATCGAGATATGGTAAGTTTAGTTTTCTAAGGAAGATAAAAGAGATAACCAATGCATCAAAAACATGGGTTCGTGAACCAATTGTTAACAAGACTACTCGTGGACGTCCCTCGTTGAAGAATAAACTTTTCAGAAAACCTCATGTTGATCTGTCTTTTACAACTTATGTTGATCCGTCTTTACAGTTGAAAGACCCCTTAGACGTAGTTGTTCGAACGCGTCATCATTTGTTGACTTGAATGAAATAAGTTACAAGGAACCAACGAGACATAGTTCTTTCTTCAACAATAATTATAATACACATCCATATATTAATCAGTTTTTTGAACTGTTTCACCCTTACATCAGACAGGTACATGATGTGAGAGGTGCTGGAATTTGTGGATTCCGAGCAATAGCTGTCCACCTTGGTCTTCATGAATATGCATGACCAACAATTCATTTTAACTTGATACAAGAGTTAGATGCATACAAGACAGAATACCTCAACATATTTAGAAGTCAATATTGGAATATAGTTTACAATATTTTAAACTTCTTTAAATCAGATCGAGGTGCTCCGGTTGAACATTGGATGACAATGTCTGAAATTGGTGTCCTGTTGCTTCAAAGTATAATGTGATCTTACACGTTATAGACATTACAGGTTTATAACCAACATACTTACCGCTTATGTCTACTCCGCCACCGTGGTATCAACATGTAAGTTTTGCATTTGGGTATGTTAATCGTAGCCATTATGTGAAACTAAACTTGACAGAAGGATACCCGATCCCTACTATTACTCTACATTTTTTCATTTCTGCTATCCGTGTGTTGCTGCATGGGCTACTCCATATTTAGATCGAATAAATAAGTACCAACAACTTTTATGTGTTAATTGTACTAAAGATAATGTTATTTTAAA